CCGAAAACATACGGCCCGATGTCGATGACATGCATGAGACATTGCCCGAAAACATGTGAACCGAAAACATACGGCCCGATGTCGATGACATGCATGAGGCATTGCCCGAAAACATGTGAACCGAAAACATACGGCCCGATGTCGATGACATGCATGAGACATTGCCCGAAAACATGTGAACCGAAAACATACGGCCCGAAAACATGAGGCATTGCCCGAAAACATCTGTCTTCACCAATTTATATTTTTGTCCCATTCCACCCCTCATACCTAGCCATGGGCTTTACTATCTAAGGTACCCATTGAAGTCAACTCAGTATAGGCAAACGTCTTATAGGCAGCAAAACGTCTAGATTGATTTAGACCTCTTTCAGGCATCTTACCATGCCTTCATCATCACAAGGACGTAGAGCCATACATGCAATAATAAAACATGATAAGGAGTGACTGTTCGCTAATACGTCACCGCATTTATTTCATGACGTCAAATAGAATGCTTTGTTGATCATTTTTCTAATTCAGCAAAACTTGTAGCGGGCAGATAATGGAGATACTGTAAGTTGGTCTTTTCCATTTTTAATTTTGTTTAAACCGTCATACTAGGGCTTAGATCGACACTAGTTTTTCGGAACTGACGTAACTACCTGGTGAAATAAAGTTTATTTGATTTTTATAATTTTAACGATTATTGTGTACAAACAGTTGTCTATTTGTCTTGAAGTTCCATCAGTATGTGGCACTGAAAGAGATGATTGTGATAAAAATCTAGCGACATGCACAGACACCGAATCTGGATTGTACCAATGTGCATGCAATGATGGATACGTTGGAAATGGAAAGAAATGTATTGGTAAGTTCCAGCCACCTTGTCAAAATTGATGTGATATCATATACGTACAGTATGGTTGCAACGAAGTTTACCAATTTTTTAGGCTTGCTGGTTTGCGGCTAGCCAATAATTTATGCTCGACAAGAAATGTTAGTTTGTTAATTTGTAATTGTCGTCAATCTTCGGAAATTAACGGCAGGTCGAAGATTTGACGACTCTTTCTTCTTCGTCTTGTCGGAAACTTTTGTTCATGCCTTGAGGCGGTCACACAAAACAAGATACAAGATGAATGTTAATTTGCTGGGGCTATACCCTGGTTCCAAGGATTTATTTTCATTGTATATAAAATTAGAAATGGCGAAGTGAAAATTAACCTCTGATTGAAAATAAATTAAATAAACCATTGATCGCACCGCGCCAATCGGTTTAATTAAACTAGCGTCAGATTCTGACTCTGTCTTACACAAAAAAGCTATGTGATTGATTAAGATCAAAACTTGTCACATGTGAAGTGTGTTCTGATTGGTTGGCTGTTTAATCGGGTGTCGTTGCACGATAGCGAGGTTATTGCCGCTTGAACCAGAGGTTTGTTTCATTTCTAATATTATATACAATGAAACTGGAACCAGGGTACTGGGGCTATTAAAATGAGCTTTTTCAAAGGTTAAATTGTGGCTATTCTAAGCCCTAAATTTTGTGGGCAGCAATGTTCGTTAAAAGTTTGTTGTACAGATACCCGATTACCTGTATCTAATATAGTTGAACAAATTTCGACAATGATTCGAACAATTTAATTCGTTGCATGACACTAAAGACTAAAATGCATTGTGTATAAACCAAAATTACAGCTTGCCAGTTATTTAAGACACTTTTCTTTTTAATGTTTCAGTCATATAGTTGGAAACCTTTGTAACGTTTCTGAGAGGAATTTCCACTAAAATTTGAGCTAAATTGCTTGAAAACAGTTCTCAATTTCAATTCATATGAATATGCCTTCACACTGTTTAGGCAATGAGGCGGCTTCCCCCATGCGTGGCTCCGGCGACCCTGCGTGAGATGAACCAGTCCCTAACCATCTCCTCGAGATGATTAGTCTTCACTTCAGCATATATTTAGTTATATGCTTGATTTGTAAATCCTAAGGAGTTGCATATGTTAACCTATAATGAAAGTTCGTTGATCGGTGGCTGTTTTAGAGAAATTTTTAAATTGTTGCAGAGCGACCAACTAATGATTTATATATATCATGATTTTCCATTTAGCTCCATATGTTTGTGGTACTTTGAGAGATGACTGTCACCCATACCGTGCATCATGTACAGACACAGGAAACGGAAACTACAATTGCAAATGTGTTAGTAATTATGTTGGAGATGGAAAGACTTGCGAAGGTATGTGCAGTTAATGTATTATCTACCTTTGCACAACAGGAGGGAAGGAACCTGGGCTGAAGGTTGGTTCTGTATAGTAAATTTGTGCTCCACCGTACCATTGGTAATATTACTTTTATTGAACTCACGCGCTATATGGAGACAGAGTTTTGCACAATCAAAAACATCCGTCTCGTCGCGTCGGTGGGTAACTGGTCGTTTTGTCCCCTTGCCGTTTCGTCCCAGGTCGTTTCGTCCTCGGTCGTTTCGTCCCCTTGCCGTTTCGTCCCCTTCACGTTTCGTCCCCACACTAGATACCGTTTTTGGCTTTTATTTCACAATATTAATATTGCTGTTGTCAGTGACTATAGTGATACTTGACTTGGCTTATGTTACTCTGAGTGTGTATCCACGCCGGGCAGGCTTGAAAAATATGCCTGGGCACGGTGGGAATCGAACCTACGACCTTTGGAATACTAGCCCAATGCTTGGTCCAAAGGTCGTAGGTTCGATTCCCACCGTGGCCAGGCATATTTTTGCAAGCCTGTCTGGCGTGGATACACGCTCAGAGTAACATCACAAACATCATATTCACCTGAGTACACAACACCAGCACAGCAGATACTAGAATTATATAAGCATGTGTTCATTCCGGCTATGAGCATGTGAACGGTGTGTTACACGGAACACAATTATCCGCGTTAGACATCGCAACCAAATCCTGGAAGAGCACAGTAGTGTAGGTGAATGTCTGACAAAAACTGTCATCCATTTTATAGGCTCAGACACCCACGTAAAATGAGTCATCCTTAAAACTGCTAGTCTTGTTAATTCAGTCTTTGTAATTATTAGTATCTAATAAGACGCGGAGAGATTAAGCATGCGGAAGTATACAATCATTGTGTTTCAAGGCTTTGTTTGTATTCAGCTATTCAAGTTTCAAAAACAAAAGCTGCCAGTGACAAATTCATCAAGCCGCAAAAAAAATTGCAACGTGTCATGTTTTGGCTGTGAGGTATTTATTTTTATTATTTCAATATACATGTGTATTCATTTAAAAAAATAACAGTGATAAAATGGTATCTAGTGTGGGGACGAAACGTAAAGGGGACGAAACGGAGAGTGGACGAAACGGAGAGGGGACGAAACGACCATAAAACGCTCGTTGCCTACTGACTCTTACAGTTCGGTTTCGCTCCAAGTTGGCTCTTAGAAGAGCCAGGTCGGCTAGTCCACTCTTAACCTGTCGAGGGTTAAAAGACTGTGAAAGGACGAACAGAGAAAGCTTCAGGTTAGAAGGCAGGTCAGCAAAGTAACGTGGACTCGATCCAAGCCGTTCAATAGGCTCACCTATAATATTTAACAAGTTTCTTAAAATCCCCCACCCCAGCTATATTTTTGTAATATTACTAACGTTTGCTTTTAATAAACGTTTTAGGTTTTTATACTGGATTTAATAACTGTCATATCATGTCAATCCATTGATATTTAATTGATATTTAGGTTTAATTTCGGTATTTCAGTCTTGTTCGAAGTTCGCAAAAATTAGTAAAAATGAGGCAGAAGCCCTGGCAGAGCCTTTTTGTTTTCAAATAGCAAATTCAGGGAATATTTTTATTCCCTACCCGGGCTTCTCCATGTTCATTTATACTTACATTAAACAAAATCTTCATGATTCGATCAAAACACAAATTATCTGAATCTGAATTTATTATGTTGGTAAACTCATGTCGAGATCACACCAACCTAGATAGGTGGTAAGTGATTTAAGCACAGGAGCCCCCAGGTTCTGCTTGGCCCGCGCCAATTCAGAGTTGAATTGTTTAACGATTGTTTAACATTATTCAGAGTTGAATTGTTTAACGATTTCCGGTTTTGTACAGATGAAGTAAGACGCGGATACATTTTGGCTAAGGCCAAGTAAAAAAATTCCCGGTTTCTCGTCAGACGTTTTTTAAAATGCAAATGCGGCGAGCGTTTTTTTTTAATTTTTTGTATATTAAACAACCAGTTTTTTTTTTTACAACAGAACTTAAATTGTTTAATAAAAAGCACTATTCTATCGTGCATGTTTATTTAAAATACAGTATGTATAAGAAAAACATCAGCGCCCTAATGCGGGCGCTGATGAGAAACCGGGAATATTTTTACTTGGCCTAAATACTATCGTTTCTAAAAAACACGAGGTTGGCGGCACCCGTTCCGCACGTTATCAACAATATAGTATTGTAATTATCAACCGTTATCAGCAATAAGTTATTGGGTTGTCACTGAAAAGAAAACCACAAGCATTGGACAAAAGGCGGCGGCGGGGTGGTGGTTGGGCAAACTTCACCTGCTTTAGGGTTAGGGTTAGGGGGTGGGGGTTAGGGGTTAGGGTGGGGGTTAGGGTTACAACCCAATAACTTATTGTTGATAATAACGGTTGATAATTACAATACTATATTGTTGATAACGCAAGGAACAGCTGTTGCATGGCAGCCATTTGCATAAAATATTACACTGCTGACCACCCACTGCTAAATACTTCATGTAATTGTTATTTATAAAAAAATACAAATGCGGCGGCTATTTCCTAATGCGGGCGCTGATGAGAAACCGGGAATATTTTTTACTTGGCCTAAATACTATCGTTTGTTCGCTGTATTCTATTGCGAATTTAAAGTCTTTGGTGATTTTTTGTTTTTTATAGAGTTATACATGTCCATTCTTGATGGCTATACTAATTTTACTCGAAAGAGATACATTAAACGCCAAAAATCGACAAAGGGTTTACAGCTATGTATACGAGTTTAGGCGAGTTTACGCACCATTCTTCCCTTCCTTCCCTATTTTAAGGAGGGTTAGGATTTGCGCGGGCCCAGCAGAGCCTGGGAATTCCTGTGATTCAAGTACTTCTGGAACAGATATGGTTGGTAATTTTGATCTGTCAAATATTAACCCACTAAGTTGCATTGCGTTCTACTTTACCATTTTACTCTGTCTAACGCCATACTATTTTACTCTGTCTAACGACAGACAGCGCTCAATGGGTTAATGGATGGACACGATACATGATTCGATCCAGTATAAATAACTCAGTCTTATATTAAGCTATTGCTAACTGCCTTGATTTTTTAATAACAGTTGCTGACTCAGAACATTTAATCAGAGCCCTTACAATACTTATGACCTAAATATATAACGAGTACTGCATCTTGTCGCGTCTCCATAACAGGCTCGAATTGCCTGTATATTACTACTTCGTTTCATTTTCGTAAGAATTAGTATTGTTAGCAAGTTATAAATTACACTTCTGGTTTTTGATCACAAGCAACAAAGATCTGTGGAACTGATAGAGATGACTGTGATGAACACGCAACTTGTACAGACACTGGTTTAGGAAGTTACAAATGCCGTTGCAATAAGGGTTATGTTGGAGATGGGAAGACGTGTGAAGGTGTGTATAAGACAATGTTCTCTGAAAATATCATGCCGTATTATTTCCCTGAGAGATATTTCAATAAGCCTAATCGGCTAACACGCGTTTATTCACGTTTCCACTCAATTTACTCACATACATAATTCGTATAGATCGTTGCCGGAATAGCAGGAATAAATTAAACCTACCAGGTGTGCAGACTGTGTACCAATTAATACTAATCAGAATAAGTGTTTTCATGAAACAGAAGATCCAAACGCAAACTTACGTAAAAATATTTTCTGCCTAACATATGGCAACAGGCCAGGGTAACGAAAGTCAAGTCTCCTTTTTGCAATTTTAAGTCCATATTGAAAACTTCTTGCATTGCAAAATATCAACAAAAATACCATTTATTTACCAACTCGTTGACGAAAGTCCATTAATCATGAGGATTTTAATATATTTGGACCATAAGAGATCCTATAGAGGATATATCTTATCAATTCATCAGTCATAGCATTTAATAGCTCTCTCCACCAGCTCGAAACAAACCAGATATGAATGTTCAATGTTGTATTCAAAGGGGTGGCGATAGATGTATGTTCCGCAACTTCAATTATCTGAGCTGAGATTCTGTTTTTAGCCGAAACAATATGTGGAACTCCCAAAGATGATTGTCACGAGTTTGCAACATGTAAAGACACTGGTCCTGGGGAATATGAATGCACTTGCAAACCATGGTATACTGGTGATGGAAAATCATGTACAGGTATAAATGCATGTTTCAAAGAAAACAAAATCATTGCCATCATTGCTCATTTTAGGTATTTAAACAGCTTAAAACACATGATCTTGCCATTTCATGTATTAGCATGTGTCAGCAGATATTTCCAGGTGGAAAACCATGTAAGGGACCAGAATTCTTATTTTGAAAACCAAAATTTCTATTTTAGCGATAAAAATATGTGGAACGCCTGAAGAAAACTGCAGTGAATTTGCTACATGTGCTGACACGCGACCAGGGACCTATACCTGTACTTGTAATGAAGGATATACTGGAGATGGAGAAATTTGTACAGGTCAGGAAATGCATACATCTTTAGAGAGAATTCCCTTTCTGATGTTTAATTCATCGTTCGTATTTACACTAACAGTATTACCATCATAATTACTCACCTACACCCACTTATTTCCACAAACGTTATCTTCAATTTCATACTGGCAACGATTTATTTCATTCCATCTTCCCTCAGAACATAAAGTTTGTGGAACTCCAGAAGAAGACTGCAGTGAATTTGCGACATGTTCTGACACAGGACCTGGAACGTTTACCTGTACCTGTAACGAAGGATATACTGGAGATGGAAAAACCTGTAATGGTAAGAAAATTTACATTTGAACCCCATTAAAATATTTGCCACGTTTCTCCATTGTTGAAATTCAATTCTTTCCCCAAACTACCCAGTATTCAAATTTAGTCTTTTCGTTTCTACAGAAATCAAAATATGTGGAACTCCAGAAGAAGACTGCAGTGAATTTGCTACATGTGCTGATACAAGACCTGGAAGCTATACATGTACATGTAATGAAGGATATACTGGAGATGGAAAAACTTGTAAAGGTCAGGAACCCTTTTTGATATTTGATTCATTGCACCAACAGTATTACCACCATACTTGCGAATTCGTCACTCACTCATATATTTCCACAAACGTCATCTTTAATTAAATTCTACGATGGCCGAGAAGGGCCATGACTGTAAACACTCGCCGTTTTTTTTTACCATTACACTCGTCGTTTTTTCCCCTTCAAAATTACACGCGACGTTTTTTCAATGCAATAATTACGCTCGACATTTTTTCAATGCAATAATTACACGCGACGTTTTTTCCAAAAATTACACTCGCCGTTATTTTAGAGTTACGTTTTAAACTGAGGGTTTCACTTCGGATGAAGATGGGAGCAATCATAAGGTTAGTGTGTTTCACTAGTCAAAACAAAAAATCATGTAAATACAGTAGTCAGTACAAAGTTTCACTTTTCAGTCGGTTAATTATGAATATAATGCATTGTTTTCTTTTGTGTTTTCCACACTATATAAACAAAAGCTTTGTGTGAGTTTGCCAGGGTCGTATATTTATTTTCCTTCTTGCACTTCTTCATATATAAACTGTGTCTTGCCATATCGTATATACGCCTGCAGTGATACAACAAAATCAACAAGAAATGGCGGTTGTACATGCATGTCCTACGGCAATATGTGAAGAGGTTATTTCGCTGGCCTCAGAGTGACAAAACGTAACACAGTAACGGTTTTACTAACACTAACCCTATTCCAAGCACCACCCAGGATCATACGCATGCAGCGGGGGGCAGGGGCAACTGCCCCCCAGAGAAAATTATATTTACGATTTTTAGAATGTCATATTAATTATTCTTTGGATATTTGGGACTTTTTCGGCGTATAGGTCTACTGCCCCCTGGTGAAAAAATCCTGAAAACCAACTCTAAACCTAATCCTGTCCCTAACCTAACTGAAAAAAGTGTCATTCTGAAGTCAGCGAATCGAAATAACTTCTTCCATGTGGCACTGGGATATATAGCAACGCTAAAATACAGAAAGATTTTGTTTAGTTGGGAAGAAAACAGTGCATTAATCATTATATTCATAACCGACTGAAAGTGAAATTTTGTACTGCATTTACATGATTTTTTGTTTTGATGAAACACACTAACCTTACGATTGCTCCCACCTTCATCCGAAGTGAAACCCTCAGTATAAAACATAACTCCAAAAAAACGGCGAGTGTAATTCTTGGAAAAAACATCGCGTGTAATTATTGCATTGAAAAAACGTCGCGTGTAATTATTGCATTGAAAAAAACGTCGCGTGTAATTATTGCATCAGTGCTTCCATTTTTAAAATCAAAATTTCTCATTTTTGTCATAAAAATTTCTCTAAATTCCTTAGATTGTATATGTTATTTCCTTGAAAATTCCTTGAAATTTTATGAAGCAGTTTGCAGTGATTTTGTAGCAATATAAAGGATTTAATTAATTTTCAAGGCACAAAATAGCACAATTAACAAAGATGTGGGCTAGCTAAAAAAACCACAGGCTATTATACTGTTAAAAATTAAATATTTGTTATGAATTTACAAGAGATACCTTTACATTGATATGATTAATTAACTAGTCACAACGTTTGGCGCAGTTTGGCGCCAAAAGTTACTGAATCCCATCTCCCATCGCTCAAAAACTTTCGGAAATTTTTGGGAACACGAGGAAAAAGTTAAAAACAGACTTTTAATTCAAGATAATTGATAATTCACTCAAAAATTCAAAAAATAGTGAAACCTTCTTCTGCACTAATGCGCTAGTATGAATATTTAAGTTTTTCGGAAAAAATCCTTAGATTTCCTTAGATTTTTTCTCTTCCTTAGATTTTCCTTTTCGACAGTAGAATTTCCTTAAAAAAGGAAATTTCCTTGAAAATGGAAGCACTGTATTGCATTAAAAAAACGTCGCGTGTAATTATTGCATTGAAAAAACGTCGCGTGTAATTTTCAAGAAAAAAACGGCGAGTGTAATTTTGAAGGAAAAAAACGACGAGTGTAATGGTAAAAAAAACGGCGAGTGTTTACAGTCATGGCCCTTCTCGGCCATGGTACAATTCAGCCAATGGTTTATTATATTTCGTTTTTCATTAGAAAATAAAGGCAGGAAATGAATATTTAATAATTAGTTAGACTAATTGTAGCGGCCTGTTTCTACTATGAAATCCACTCCAGTATTGATACCTAACCCCGCCATTTTCGGTCACATTCGTATTCTTCTAAACGGCATTTTTAGCTCCTGTTATTTATTATTCCACAAATGCTATATTTTACTTGGAACTTCAATATTTTAATAGAACTTAAAATATGTGGATCCCCTGATGAAGACTGCAGTGAGTTTGCAACATGCGCTGACACAGGACCAGGAACTTTTACCTGTACCTGTAACGAAGGATATACAGGAGATGGAAAAACTTGTGAAGGTGAGACAATTCACTTTTTCAACCCCCCAAAACCCATTTGCCACATTTTCCCATTGTTTAATTTAACTTATTTTCTGGGCAACTACGCAGTATTAATTGTTCCTCTTCTCTTTTATAGAAATCAAAATATGTGGAACTCCACAAGAAGATTGCAGTGAATTTGCAACATGTACTGACACAGGACCAGCAACTTTTACTTGTACCTGTAACGCAGGATATACTGGAGATGGGAAAACTTGTGAAGGTGAGACAATTTACTTTTTCAAACCCCCCAAAACCCATTTGCCACATTTTCTCATTGTTTAATTTAACTTATTTTCTGCGTCAACTACGCAGTATTAATTGTTCCTCTTCTCTTTTATAGAAATCAAGATATGTGGAACTCCACAAGAAGACTGCAGTGAATTTGCAACATGTGCTGACACAGGACCAGGGACCTATGACTGCACCTGTAACAAAGGATATACTGGAAATGGGAAAATATGCAAAGGTCTATACAATTATCTTAACAGAATGTTCTGCTAGAAAGATCTGCTGTAATGTTCGAGTTGCTTTCATAAGATCAGTATTTAGGGACCGGTCATTATTTATGGCGGGGGGTGGCACCGAAGAGAAATGTTTTTCGTAGCAAAAATTTTGCTGACCCAACCATTAAAAAGTAAAAAAAAATGATTACCCAACTTCAAATATCAATTAAAAAATAAATACCCACCCCTGGCCAAAAAATTTACAAAAGGTATTCAGTTGTCACATATGTCCTTTACCACTTCTGTGACATAAGTTTTGATAACGGATTGTGAAATTTTCTGCAGTCTGAAGTTTCATGTTGTCTGCACATGTAGCTACTTTCTTTGGAGATCCCATCGGAAATTGATCAAAATAGTGACTCTGATTGATATATACTTTTCGTTGTTTCTTTACACATTTAGTAAATCTTAGTATAACACCAAGTTCATCAATTGCTGCTATTTTGCTAGCAAATCCATGTATAATAAACCCGGGTGTTTTGCAATCAAAAGTGATGCAACCTGGATAGTGGAATAAGTTGACTACTGTAGGCACAATTTTTGGCCACTTAATAGTCAAAGGTCATGCATAAATAAGAACAGTCTTTAATATTACCGCCTTAGGGAGACTTTATCAGGGGCGCCGGAGCCACGGGGGCAGCGGGGGCAACTGCCCCTGTTGCTGAAACAGTGCGGGGGTAACACGGGGGCAACAGGTTGCCCTTTTTCACCAGAACTGCGCTTCGAAATTTGTGCGGTATTCACATGAATTGGAATTTATAACTATTTTTAAGCCATGTTTAAGCAATCTTTGCTTAATTTTAACCAGTGATAGTAAAATTAATGCCAGAGGCCGCGGAATCACTTTTGTATAATTCAGTATGATCAAAATCAAACGATTTTATGTCGTTCACGAGCAGAACGAAAAATGTTTGAAAATAGGGAGTCCTTATAACGTCGGAAATGGCCTTTAAAGAGTCTTTACTACTGCAAAAAGGGCACTTTCTTTCTAGCCCCCCCCCCAAAAGGGCATTTTTTCACTTTTAAAAAAGTTGGGAGGCACATGCCCCCATTGCCCCCCAGTTCCTTGGCCCCTGATTAATGCTAAATCAGGCAATATACGTCCGTTTACTGATTTTATTTTGCGCCCTTAACATGGTGCAACAAATAAAATTGTTCAAAATTAATGTCGAAGTTTGCCCGCCCATAATAGCCACAAGTAATCGGGTATCCATACAATAAAGTTTTAACAAATATTGCTGCCCAGAAAACTGATGGCTGAGAAGCAAGTGCCCTTTTGAAATAGCTGCTTCACGTTGCTTCCGGTGCCCCTGGTTCACTTTATATTAATTGTGCTACTCTAGGATCTAGAAGACCCATAGGTCCCATACTCGACTAGCAACATAATCAAGTTAGTTAGGTTAATTCATTATATATATGATCAATGTTAAAGGCAAGGTGGGCTATAAGCTATAATCATTTGTATGGTTATAGAAGGCTAATTCAATTGCTGCGAATACTGTAAATTGAATAATGAATGTAGCACAATATTAAATAGTTGCATGATGACGTCAAAGAAACTAGTCAGACTACATTTGCAAGTTTTGCAACTCTCATCGCTTAAATTCCCCATACCTGAATACAAAATAAACAGTAAACAATGATTACCTTTTACATACCATATATAAAACGGAGTTTTCATCCTTTTTAGAAACTCACTTCCTGAACTTTTGAGCGCAAATGTAATGTATCAAAAATGTATATCATATTCACAGCGGTTAATACCATTAATATATCGCGGGCACAATACAAAACAAAACACAAGAATTTTAAAATGTTTTGATTTGCAAATAAATAAATAATATTTGATGTCATAAAAATTTTTAAATTTAACTCAACACAAACTGGTAAGTTCATGACATGTATAATTTACTTATATGTTGTTATATTGCAATTCTGTACCCTACTCCTTTGAAAATTGTTTGCAGTTGCATATGATGTGAACATGTGGTCATTTATTATAGTTATGTC